AGATAGATAGATAGATAGATAGATAGATAGATAGATAGATAGAGCTATATTTGTATTCTGTCCTTCCATCAAGGTAATTTATTATGGTAATTTATTGTTTAAAACAAGCAGGATAAGAAGAAAATAAGCAAATATGTCAGAAATGAATTTCACTTTCATAGACCATTACAACATCAAGGTACTTGTTGGAGTAACTGTTGTAAACAGGCAGTTCTGGGTGAGGAAGAATAGTTCCAGCTGGAACAATGGCAACCTTTTACTGGTTCACCTCTTGTTCAGAAGCAATCAAATACAGGTAGTCCTCATTTAGTCACTGCCTTGTTTAGTGACTGTTTGCAGTTACAACGGTGATGAAAAAGTAATTTTATGACCAATCTTCACAATTTACAATCTTTGCAGGTCTGTAAAGCAAAGGAAAACTGAAATAAGATCATAAGCACAGTCACAGTTTCACTTAGCCACCACTTTGCTTAACAACTGAGTTGCTGGTCCCAATTGTGGTTGCTAAATGAGGACTACCTGTACATATGGAGTTATTTAAGGAAAGAAGGAGCTAAGAAGTGATTTATCTCAGCTGAAGCAGACTAACCTCAATTGCCTTGGTTTTTAAGACACTGGAACATGTTTTTTTTTAGCTGAGGACCCAATACAGGGTCTTATTAAAGTTGTCATAGATTGTGTGTGGGTTAAGCAAACTGGCAAATAAGTATGGTCAAAGAAGACGATAGTCCTGCCAAAGTAAAATGGTCCATCCGTTTTAATTTTTTATATCTCCCAGCTTATCTGGCCTTAAAATTACTAGGTTTCATTTCAAACTATTAGAAATTGATGACAGCAGAAGAGAAAGCTAGGTATTACACAAAAATGTTTGGGAGGGGGAACACAAGTAGCTTTCCAGGTGCAGCCTGTACATCATGTTAGTCAAAAACCACCTGTGTTAGCCAAAAATCAGGAGTTGGTTAGCACCTTTTCCAACTCATACATTTCACTGAAAAGCATAAGCTTTTGTGACCTATAGCTCATTCCTTTGCATCTAATGATCAGCTGTAGCTCACAAATGTGTATGCCTTTTCATAAAATGTATCTGTCTGAAAAGGTGCCAGACTCCTGATCCATATTTAAGAGAAAGCTGTAAGAATTAAACCATTCTACCTCTTCAATAAGAAACTTCTGGTTTGATTATCATGCTACCTTTCAGAGTGGGGAGCTGCATATAAATACTTCATAAAGCAGAGGAGTCTATTGTTAGGTTCCCCCCCCCCAATGAGTTACTAGTATTTGCTCTTCCTTTCTAACCTTATGACACTTCCAGATGTTCTGATTTCAGAAATGAGGCAGGGTTGCAATGGGTTTTTCTCCCCATTAGTTCTCAGTCTGCTACAGGTACTTCTGTTCTAAGAGTTTACAATGTTTGCTGAAATCTGATAGCCAGTTGGAACATGCCCCACATGCTCACCATATGAGCAGAGATGTCAGTGTCTAGCTATTGACTAGTAACTGAGTGCTTCACTCTACCTTCTCAAATATGTATGAAAAAGAGATTCTTTTCTTCTCCTTCTCCCAAGTAAGAGAGAATCAGTTGAAAGAGTCTCATCTGCTCACCAAGCTGGCATACTTCCAGGCATGACAATTCTGTATTTTAGCTCTTTGACTCAGTCCTGCCGCCCTGCCATTATGTCAGGAAGCCAAAATCTGGGAGACAGGGCAAGTCAATTGTCCCCTCCAGTGGTTGCATTGTCTACACTGCTCCCTGCTGGCAACAGAAGTTCTCTACTTGCAAAAAACCCTCCCAACTGGAGCAAAAGGAAGATGGGCCCAAACATTCTGGAAAGGATGTAGTAATTGCTGAGAGGTTCAATCCATTCCACGAGTGGACTGGAATCCATGTGTGGTAATGCCCTTCATCTATCTTCTGTTGTGCAGCTGTGGAAAAGGCCAGAATTTCCATGGCCTCTTCCTAGACAAGAATTGCATTCTAAGCAGAGTTGTAAGGATCCAGCTCACCATTATTTCCCTGCTCTTTGCAGAAATCCAGACAAGGGGATCCAATTCCTGATCTCTCGAGGCTTCATACCAGACACACCAATTGGAGTGGCCCATTTCCTGTTGCAGCGCAAGGGGCTCAGCCGACAAATGATTGGGGAGTTTCTGGGAAACAGCAAGAAACAATTCAACCGGGATGTACTGGAGTAAGTGTCCAGTCCTGATCACCTGCTTCCTCCACCCATCAGCCACAGTTTCTGCTATTAACAATGCTTAAGAGTGTTATGATAGATGCATGCTTCAGTTGGTGCCCATTTCCCTACTAGCCCGTCTTCCCAGAATTCTTCTCAGACCTGTTTCTTGTTTTCATCTGGGAAATGTTAAGAATAATCCAACTGAATCAGCATTGCAGAGAGAGTATGAGAGGAGCACATCACAGGAGGAACAAGCTGGCTGAGGCACAGTTTGTTTACAAAAATGAATTAAGGGAGGCACATCAAGCAAGAGGGTGGGGGAAGGATGTGTGCTTGCTGCAGGACAGTGAACAGGCTGGCTTCTGGGTTATCCTCTTACAAAATTCTACTCCAGAATTTTTTATAGAGTTTGGAGCATTTCAGCCCTTTGTCCACAAGTTATATATGGATTCAGTCCTGGTAAATCACACAGCTCAGAGCAGTGATGACATTGTAGAGAAGGGAAACGCTGTGAAGAATTGAAATGTGGGGTAGTTGTGGTTCTGATTACAAGCTTAATTCCTTGTAATAGTAAACTGAACCTTTATCCTCCTTCCTTCAGTTTTTCCTTTTGTGTGTATATTGATCTGCATCAAGACAGAGTGCATTACCCTACTAATATTATTGTATAGAAAAATATACTGTATTTAAAAGAATTTAAAGCAGAACCAATAGAGGCAGCCAAGGAATAGGGGGACTAGTGTGTAACCATGCAATGGAAGAGTCATTCTTGCTACTAGGTAGAGTCCAAGTAGCTATAAAAAAGTTTAATCTGCTTTCCATCAAAAACATGACCCTGCTCAGTTGCCCTGTGACTAGGAAAGCAAAAGGAAGGAACGAAGTGTCCCCGGGTGGCTCAAAGCAGCATGAATCTTTAAGCAAGGAGAACATCAGCTTGATCTCAACCAGTTATAAATGCCTGTTAGCAACTGTTGGCCTGGCATTGTCAAACTATCACTTTCCTCCATTTATTCCTACCTGCAAGATTATAAGGCTGAGGACAAAAACACTGATTGCTCAGCCTAAGTCCTTATGGGGAAGGGTTTCAGACAACTGGAAAGTCAGACATTCACTTCACTTGCTCTCATCCTGCGGAAGATGTACCTGTTTGGGTCTGAGGCTTCCTGTGTGGGCTGCTCTCCCCTTGCCTTTCTCCCTTCTTCTCTAAGTGAGTTCTTACATTGTACTAAGCCAGGATATGGTTGACCTGTTTGCTTAGTGTATTATATGGTTTATAAGTCATGGTTATGGCTTAGGATATGTGATTCTGATCAACTGGTAGCTAATTCAACAAACCATGATTAACATAATTTAAGCTTAGCCCAGTGTATGAATCTAGTCCCCATTCTCTTTCCATTTCTTTCTTTGTGATGCAAGGGCAGTAAAGCTTGCATTACTCAATAGAGCTGCAAGAAGCGAAGATTTAGTACATGGGATACTTCAAAGTCTTGCCTCCAGCTCTTTTGCTTGTCGTAACATAGCTATTATTTTCCTCCATGATAAAGATAGTCTGGTTTAAAACCAATAATGTTTGAATTAATTCCTTTCTCTTCCTATGGTAGCCACCAGTCCTAAGTAGAACCTCAGCTGCCCACAAAAACTGAAGGAATTAAAACAGTGGTGTATGTGTGTATTTCATTTGAAATATTGACTTCTGATAGCTTAGTTGACTAAATGTTGCTAAGTCCATAATTTCCTCTTATGGTACCCCAACACAACCAAAGTTTGCTAACTTTAAGACCTGAGATAAGATGGAGAATCTGATTAGCATGCTTTGTATCAGTGTAGTTGTAATCCCAAAAGACATCCAGGATTTTTTTTAAAAATCAGAGTTTGTTAGGTAAACCATAATAGGAAGAAAGATATACAGTATAACAGTAAGCCAAAATAAGAAGGGATCACAGATCCCAAAAAATGGCTTAACAGATCCCACTAAACTAAAAGCATACAAATCACAGTTGGGTTGAATGTTATATGTGAACCACACTTCAACGTGGTAATAGAAGAGAGAATACATGCTGGAGAAGAAAACAGTAGTGCGCAATCTCCTTTGAAGCTTTTTCAGAAGCACTTAATCATGGTGACAAGAGTGGCATCATTATGTCTGCCCCTGCCATCTTTATCTCTTTATAAGCTCCCTTTTGGCCTCTTGTTTGTCCTTGCATGCCATCATTTTGCTCTGATTCTATTCACCTTTTGTTCCTTTCATTATATTCTGAGAATGTGGTATTCTTTGCATCCATTCATGAGCTGTGCTCTTTAAGGAGTAGACGGCTCAGGCCATGAACAGAGCTGGTAGCTTCACTGGGGGTGGGTTGTTTGTTCTGCCAGTATAAAGATTCTGGGAAGGTCAGATGCAACTGTCTGCTTCAATTTCTATTCAGAG